TAGTAGTAGTTGTTGTTGTTGTTGGGGCAGTAGTAGAAGCAGTACAAGGAGGAGTAGTAGTAGTAGCAGCAGTAGTACTAGTAGCAGTAGTAGTAGTGATAGTAGTAGCAGCAGCAGCAGCGGCAGCAGCAGCAGTCGTCGTAGTGGTGGTAGTAGTAGTAGTAGTTGTTGTTGTTGTGGCCGTAGTGGTGGTGGTCGTCATAGTAGTAGTAGTAGTAGTAGGAGTAGTAGTAGTAGTAGTAGTAGCAGTAGTAGTAGTTGTTGTTGTAGTGGTTGGTAGTAGTATGTTGAGCATTATTGTCCTGATGTCTTACTCCTCTTCGTATTCGGATTCCTGATGATATTAGAAGTTAGAGTATGCTAATATTAAACAATGATTAGCATACAATTAGTTACCCCTAGTATTCACGATCTTTGGCCCAGGATCTTCTTTGCGCTGTATATTACAGTGGTGGTCTTCGCGATCATCAGGGTGGGGAGCTGATTCGACGGCAGGCTTTAGAGCAAGGCAGCAGCTTCATGTACCAGCCGTCGCCATAGTAGTCAGATACATTCATACTTGTAACTTGTATACGTACATACCTACATGCCTACAGACATACAGGCATATAGACATACAGTTAAACATGTAGACATATTTCCATAGATACACCTACATAATACATATTCCTAGATGCTTATATATATATAAGCAAGAACATTCGCATCCACTCACACCCATCTACACTCGTACATACATACATACATACATGCATACATACATATCATACATAGATACACAAATACATACATGTTTTCATTATTTCATTCATTCATTCATTCATTCACTCACTCACTCACTCATTCATCCATTCATTAATTCACCCATTTATGCATTCGTTCATTCGTTCAGTCATTCCCTCTTTCGTTCACTGGTTCATTCATACATACATACATACATACATACAGACAGACAGACAGACAGACAGACAGACATGCTCATTTACCTACATAGAACATACATACATACATACATACATACATACATAAATACATACATACATACATACATACATACATACATACATACAAGTTGTTTCAGGACATGACCAAGGCCCGTAAGAAGTTGATACATGGTTTGCCCACACATCAGCCTGTCTGAGTAGCCACAGTTTAGCATATCAGACCATGGCAACTGGCTCTTAAGGACTTCTGCTCCATGGTTAGCAACTATACATGCACGCTTACATGCATACATGCATCCGTGTTTACATGTAAGCATGCTTACGTGGTTATACGTAAGTTTATGATTACGTTCATACGCACATGCATGCATGTGCGAAAGATATTGGGATGAGCGCAATGAGATGGTCAATGTCAACGTCTACAAGTTATTCTCTAGCGCAAGGTCATTGGGGCGATCTTCCTCAAAGCGACTTGGCTCTCCTTTCTTAGGACGCTACCTGTTGAGATCTTTTCCTTACATAGCTGCAGAAAAGGAAGCTACAAATTTAACTTCCAGGAGGGTTGCGGAAGTGAGCCAAGGAGACTCTCGACGCGGCACAGAACGATGCAGAGCAGCTGGTGAAAGATAGGCAGCTCTTGTGGGACAGCCCAAGCTCTGGGCTAAACTCTTGAAGTGCTGCCCTACGCCCAAAACCTAAACACCCTAAACCCGATAAAGCCTGAAGACCCTGAACCGAGGAAACCCGAGGATCCTGGCCGACAGTCGCCTAGATCATGTCACCCCCCAAACCCTAAACTCTAAACCCTGTCAAGAGTCATTCACAGGCCCTAAGGAAGGCTAGAAGCTTGCTGGAAGTATACACTTTCATGATCGCCCGGTTTGTTGTTCCGATGCGTCTTGTCGCGGTTGTGCCGCATTGTACCATGTTGGTGTGACCAGTACTACCAGAGCTCTTCGGGTGGTTCCCGATTGAACCTTGCATGAGCCACGTTTTGCAAGATCCCAAAAAACCCTACACCCTAAGCCCTTAGCCCTAAAACCTCGGAAACTGTAGCCATCGACCTCATCCCTAAACCGCATGCCCTGGCAGCCGACAGCATCATTCGCGTAGTTTAGGCTTCAATGTACCGAAACCCTTTTTTTGAAACATTACGGCTCCTTCATACCGCCATGAGAGGTTCGTGGGAAGCCTTTCCTAAAGGGTCCTAGAAACCTTACATTCTACCCCTGACCCCCCAGGTACCTACTATACAGGGTACCCGAGCCCCAAGGGCCCTATATAATAGGTACCTGGAGGGTTAGGGTACTGTATAGGCATGCAGGTACTTTGGACAATGTGGGTTTGCAAGCCCTGAATCCTGCCCCCTCTAAGGCAACGCCTTCATAGACGGTGAATCTTGCATGCCCCCAAGCCAAGCCCTAACCCACCTACTATATAGGGCCCTAGGGGCTCTAGTACCCTTTTTAGTAGGTACCTGGCAGGGTAGTGTAAGCCTTGCGCACACCCTGATTCTGCATGAACCCAAAGGCCCAAAAAAAAAACGCTGAACCCTGAACCCCCAAAAGGCCCTAGAACCTTCCACGGTGAATCCTGAACCCTAGAGGAAGTGTAGTCCGTTAGCTAAGAGGGTTCAGGAGTTTAGGGTTTAGGGTTTAGGGCTTTCGATTTCTTTCTCGCCAACCTGGAGGGCCTTACAACCAACACAGGATGTAGCGAAGTTTTGGGGTTCATTTATTCAGGGCTCCAGGTTTAGGGAGTTCCTTAGGGTTTGGGGTTTGAGCTCATGGATTTAGGGCTCAGGGTTCAGGGTTGCGCATCGCGAGAATCCCAGAAGTCCCTTGCAAGTTGCTGCCTCGCTCTTGGCAGGATGCGGATGAAGGCAGAAACTTGGTCAACATGTCAGTATTATTATAACACCCTAAACCCCAAAACCCTAAACCCCAATCCCTAACCCCCAAACCCCTATATAATCCCTAAACCCCAAAGCCCTAAACCCCAACCCCGAATCCCTAAACCTGATGTCTCGAATCTCTGAACCATCAACCCTAGACTCTCTAAGCCTTGTAAGCCCTTAAACCGTAAACTCAAAGCCCCACTGTCCTTAAAGCCTCGCTTGAAATCTCAGAGCGCCTTGAGGGGGAATCACGGGTTGAAGGTTGAATCACCGAAGGCGGGATTTGAGGTTCCAGCCTTGGCTTTCCGTAGTCCCAGGACGGTTGCGTGGGTTTAGGGGTTTAGGGGTTTGGCTTCAGGGATAAAGCTCTGCCCCCAAAAGCCAAGGAGCATGTTCAGAAGCTGGAGTCTGCTTCTTGGCATGCAACTGTGGTAAACTTCTGGACACCCGCTCCTCAAAGTTGTCAGCATGGCTCCATGATGTGACTTGTCACATGTGTGTGACTGCATGCTGCATGCACACTGGCTTGCAGAGTCGGTTTGTGCATGGTTTGTTCTAAACCCTAATTTCTAAACCTGTCTTTGCAATTTGGGAAGCATAATACTGCGACATATTGCGAGCAGTTTTCTATGGTGTTGCAAAAGAAATTCGTCATTTTCGCCAGATGTGAACAGGTGCAATACTGTCAGGAAGGTCGTTGTTCCTTGTCCTCTGAAGCGCGTTGCAAGGTTTTCATGGCTATCGATGATTCCGGGAACGGAATGATCACGGAGGAGCGGCTGCGAGACATCCTTTCAAGACCCGAGGCGGACTTTTCTCATCAGAGGGTTTAGGAAAGTCTAGGGTTTAGGGCTTCGGGGTCGTATGCTTCGAAGCTGCACTACTGTAGTACTAGTACTAGTTACTAGTACTAGTAGTACTAGTACTACGGTAGTACTAGTACTAGTACTAGTACTACTACGACTACCTCTACGACTACTACTACTACTACTACTACTACTAGTATTGCTACTGCCACTGCTATTGCTACTGCTACTGCTACTGCGACTCCTACGACGACGACTACAAGTCCAACGCCTACTCCTACTCCTACGGCTGATCTTCCCAGCCCCCACTCACACCCACACTCACGATCCCCCTCCCACGCCTGCAACTGCTGTCGCTGAATTAGAATGAACAAAGGGTTGGGCCCTTTTCGTGCACTGGTATGGAATTATGAGAACTACGTATATTTTTCGCGAAACTGTCTTCCTGCAGAAACTCTTTCCGGGCTTCCGGCAGTAGGATGCTTGAGGGTCAGGGGAAAATCGGGTCCTAGAATACATAGATTGGCATTTAGTTTCATATCAAGCCTCTCTCATTCATTAAGCCTGCAACCTTCGACCCGCAGGGCCTAAACCGCAGACGCCTCAAGCCCTGAAGCCCCAATCCCGATAGATCCCCAACTCATAGTAGAAAATAGGAAACCTTGGCCTGCCTGGGGTGTTAGTTTCCCTACATACTCCCGACGGTTAGCCACTATAGTTCGCTTCAAACAATTAAGTTAGAACTCCCGGGGACAATATGGGAGACCCTCATCCCTATAAGCCCTATAACCTAAACCCTAAACACAGGGGAAAATGGGTAGATGCCAGGTGGCAGCGTATTTCCAGACTCTTGATCTGGCGACACGGCCCTATCTATGCTTCAGGGTTCAGGGTTCAGGGTTTACGGAGGGGTTTAGGGTTTGAGTGTCAGAGAGGCACGGTCTAGGGTTGCAGTGCTTTGCTTCAAAGGTCACATCAAAGAATATGTAATAAGTTAGCTTAAATATGAAGATCGTAGGACTACCTAGCGTGTCTGTGTAAAGGGAGCACTTGAAGTGTTTGGGGTTCAGAGGTCTGGGGTTGAAGAGTCGAGGGGTGGAAACTTTTTACGTGGTAGCCTTTAAGTTCGCTGAAACGATTCCAGAAGCCCTGCAGACCACGAGGATCATATTTACTGTTGGACATGAGATCCCCTGTGCTACCGACTCTAAAGCATTTAGCCCGTAGTCCCTCAGCGCCTAAACCGATGACCCTAGGACGTTCCACTCTAAGCTTTGAAACCCTAAACCCTACACCCCCCAACAGAACCCTAAAGCCACCCCAAAACCCCAAACCCCAAGCCCTCAAACCCAAACCCCAAACCCCAAACCCTAAACCCTAAACCCCAAGCCCTAAAACCCAAAGCCTCCAAACTACAAATCCAAAGTCCGTCGCCGAGCTCGAGATGAAGCCCTAAGAGCGGCCTTTCCAACTTCCCTAAAGACGTATATCCTTCAAAATGCAGCATGTCGTGGGTTTTCCGGAAGTGTAGAAAATCGAGGGCAGCAAGTCAGCCGCCTATGCTGTAGCCAGACGATACTCGCAAACCTATTCTTATAGTTGATGAAGCCCACCGGGATTAATCGGTAAACGACAATGCGTCTAAGCCTACGCGACCGTCGCTATTTTAGACGACGAGTCCGCGAACTGCTACGCTGCTACGCCGAGGATGTGCACGAGAGTGCAGCACTCTTCCACCTCCTTGATAATGGTGATGGTGAGGCCAGAATAGGGTTCAAGATTGAGGGTTTTCGGCTTCAGGACTGAAGGATTTGTTTTTGCTGTTGTTGGCGTTGATTGTTTTTTGCCGTTGCACCTTACTCGACTGATGCCTGGTGGATACTATGAGAGCTTCGCAGTGAGGGAAAGGCAACAAGCCGCGGGTATCGACGGCTGCCACTCTATCACCACTACCAGCACTCCTGATGACGATACCCCCACCTAATGTTCACTAAAGGCCTCATAAAGTTTGTCGACCGACTTTGTAGTTTAGGGTTGCGGCAGCATTCTCACCTAGTCTCACTTCCTGCGACGTCCTGTTGCTGGACACTACATACGGTTGCCATGTTCAATACACAGCAACAGTCAGACGGCGTGCAACACCAGAAGCGAGAATCTCTTTATGTAAACGAGGAAGACACAGCAAGCAGATGTTCTCTCCGGGTTTGCATGATGACTCTCGCAACAACTGTCACGGTCACTTTTGAGGCCGCTTGACTAGGATCCAGTCGTAGTGAGCTGCCTGTATGATTTAAACCCGGCACGGTTTATGAAGCTTCAAACCCTCAATCCTAAACCGGCGGCTCCAACACATCGCGCATCCGCACGGCCCTTAACCCTAAGCCCAGATACCGAAGGTAACTTTGGACGAATTCATTGATGGAATTATGCGGTGCAAGGGAACGGCGAGGCCGGCAAGGGGTTGAGAGGCGTATAGCGTCTGGGATTCAAGGTTCAGGTATCGAGAAGGTTTGGGTCTAATTAGAGCCTCAGGGATTGAGGCGGTTGACGGTCAAGGATTTACAGTGGTTCATTAAATAGGGTTACGGTCATCCTAGTGACATTCAGGCCGCTTAACTCTATCCCTCCAGGTACCTACTATATAGGGCCCGAGGGGCTCCAGTACCCTATATAGTAGGTACCTGGAGGGTTAGGGTAAAGAATGACAATGCGGGCAGGTTAGCCAGAGGTCTGCCATACCCGGAGCCCGAAAGCGAGTCGACATCGAGCAGGTCCTGGGCCAAGCATCACTTGCGCCAAGAGCCATCAATCGTGGAATATTCCTCGAATTCGCATACTGAAGCCCGAAGCATGAACAACATAGTTCTTTATCGGCTTCCGATTATAACCATATATATTTTGATGAACCCTCATCATCATCCCCATTCTAGTCCCCATTCTAGTTAGGTAGGCCACCATATCAGGGATCGTTCCGTAGTTCAATTTATCAGGGCTGACGGGTAGTTTTTGGCGGGGCTCAACCGAAACCCTAGTCGTTGCACCCCAAGCCCTAACAGTTTTAAAACCTTAAAAGCAGAAGCTAGTGTAGTCTCGGGGCCTTCGAAGACCCTAGGCCCCAAAACCCCAAAACCCCAAACTCCTAAACCTTGAACCCTAGACACAAGACCCGAAAAGCCCCTATAATCCGTACAGGGCCATCGACCAAGTGTCCATGCACGCCGACCTCAAGCAGGTTGAGAAAAAACTCAACAAGCTCATCCGCATGATGAGGGACCGTGTTAGGGCTTTAGGTGCGTTGGGTGTCGGCTGTGGAGTCTGGTGTTTCGGGGCCTTGCGAACTAAAATGGAGTTTGGGGTATCTTATGCAAGATGGACCCCCCAAAACCCAGTTCGAATGATTAAGGCTCCTACAGTTGGCTGTAGAGGTTTGGGGTGCTTTGGGTTTAAGCACCAGAGGCTTGGGGTGTTTTGGGTTTAGTGCTTTGAGTTGGCGAGGTGTTTAGGGTTGAAGGTTTAGGGTTTCGGAGCTTGGAGGGTGGTTGACATGAGCTAAACCCTCCTTCCACACTTGACCCTCATGATTGATTAAGGTTGGGGGGTGGTGGGGTTTGCCTCGAAACTACCGCGCTTTAGTGAGCTTTGCTGTTGCCTATTGTAAATTCTAAACCGCAAACCCTTATCCTCAAGTTGATGGATTCCGAATTTGCAATTTGGGTCGTATGAGGCTCGAAAAGGTCTGAGCTCGGCATCTGCTCTTGGGGATTGAGCACCCGGTTTGAGCCCCAGACGAAGGGAAAAGCAGAGTTAGTACAACATACATACTTTTTTCATATATATATATATATTCATATATATATATATGTATATAGATGCCTGTGCGCATGTGTTTCATGTATATGTGAATGTGTATGTGTATGTTTAGGTGGATGTGTGTATATATATATATGTGTGTGTATCTGTATGTACACACACACACAGATATACATATACATATATATATATATATACATACTGTCGCGTCGCGTCCCGGGCCCCTAACCCCCCCCCCTCCTCCCGCATGGTACCCGCCCCGGTGTGTGTGTGTGTGTGTATGTGTATACGTATGTGCATGTGTACGTCTACGTGTGTGTGTGTGTGCGCACGCCTGCACGCCTGCGAGGACGCAGAGTTATACAAGTCCAAGAGCCAAGCCAGCATGAAGCGCAACGCGCTCACGCAGGCGAATCACCTCAAGGTGGGAACGAAACATCGATTTTAGGACCTTAGGATGTAAGGCTTTTTGGAGTTTAGCTCGGGTATTTGCAGTTTCTACGATCTGAGGCGGGTTTATTGTTTCGGGCGTGTACGCATCAGGCTTGACTGCGGATATCTCGGCCGTACACAAAGTGAGGCGTCAGGGTACTGGCTACAGGGCTTCAAGCTCGCCAAACTAAATGAAGGTGGCCTAAACCCTAAACCCTACCCATAGGCCCTTAAGTACTTCCTTTTTGGGATTACTTTATAGGATTCTAAAAATAAACCATAAAAAGGAACTACTTAGGGGCCTATGGGTAAACCCTTGGTTAAGGATCTCGCCTCCACTAAGGCGATCCTCCTTCCAGCGCGGTTAGCAAAACGGGTGTTCCCTAATCGGATGCCCCAAAAGGTGGGATGAAGGTAGGTAGGATCATGGATCCCTTATATAAGGACTATTATTGGGGAATATCCCACCTACCTTCACCCCCAACTATTGGGGCCTCCGAACTAATCGTGGGTCTACATTCGGGTTTCAGGCCTGTTACACATAGTTGTTGGGTGCCCCCCTTTGGCGGCGAGAGGTAGAACCTGAACCGAGAAACCCAAAAAAGTCCAAGCAACAAAAGAGTAAGCAGAGGGCCCTTTCGACAAAGGAAGCGGCCCCCAGTACATGGGTACGAACATACCTTGAGTCTGCTTTTGTATTTATGTAGTTTGCTTAATTCAGGGTAGTTTGGAGGCTCCAGGCAGGGACATGGCACGAGGTTTCTGCTGCACAATCGCAGGACCTGGCTGATTTATCATATTCTTGTGATAGGCTCGAGTCAGTCATGTCCTCCACACATGATGTTTAAGCTTGTTCCCTTGAATGATTTTTTACAGGCTCTCAAGCTGGGCATCCGAAAATGTATAAAACCTATAAACCCCTACAGCCTAAACCCCTAAACCAAACCCTCATTTCTAAACCCTAAACCTCGAAGGCCTAAACCCCTAAACCCGAAGCCCTAAAGCGGGTAAGTGCGAAGCGGAAGCCGGACCCTTGGCTTCAGATGTGGGTTTAGGTACTAGGGTCTAGGGTTTAGGGCTTCGGGCTTAGGGTTTAGGGTTTAGGGTATAGGTACTTAGAGGATCATTGACACTTCGTAAGTAAGTTTCCTCAAGGGTTCCTGAAAGGGATCAAACAAAGGGTTCTGTAAGGGGAGAATCATGGGACTTAGCAAGTAAAGTTATAAGTACTTCAATTCGCTATAGGTATAGCTGCCCTCTTTATCATCTTATACCCATAGGCTCCTAAGTAGTTCCTTTTTTGTGGTTTGTATTTAGAATCCTATAAGGTCATCCCAAAAAGGAACTACTAGGTAGCTACCATGGCCCCATGATCCTCTGAGTAAAACCCAACTCCCAAAAGCTTTTCTTAAACCTCGGAGCACCTAGGCCAAGCCTAGAGCCGCTCAAGGCGCAACATAGTATGAAATAGCATAATCTACCATAGTATTATAGCAATAACAACAATAACAACACTAATAACACTAGTTATACTAATATTATATATATATATGTGTATATATATACACACACAAACACTATAATCTGCAATGTAGTAATCGAGTAATTATGCTATAACCGAAGCAAGTCGGCTCTCCTGCCCTGTGCAGGTTTTCCGATCCGATGTGTCTATGCACCTGTCACCTGGCGCGTTCAGACAATAAACTTTGTTCTGTGAAGTGCGGCGCAGGGCTTGTGCAGTGTGCAGTGTCTTTGTTGCACGATGCCCGATGCTTGATGATGTAGCTACAACTCTTAGAGAGCACTCTGCAAGGCTTAGTTTCTTAAACCTCATGTATGACTCATCAACCCTATCACTATGACGCGTGATCGGATCAACTCTTATCTTGATGGGCCGAGCCCGTTTCACCGTCGAGCAGGGAATCAATGACGCATGTAATTACAGGCGTCTCTGGTCTTTGTGACCGTGGGAGGTGGGCAAGTGCTTATGGACGCCTCTCTTAATTGCTTCATGTTTCAAACAACCATGGCTATCGGCCATCCATCCCGAAACGTATGTGCAGTGTAGAACCCGCCAAGACGCTGCTTCAACTGCCAGTTCGTATCTGGCTAACCTAGACCCGCTAGCCGATCCTCCGGTTACTGTCCTTTAGTAAGAAGGAAACGGCAACCAAACAAAAAAGCCGATGTTGCAATTGAGGGATCCTAGTCGAGTCATTGTGCCCGCACTGCAGTTACGTATGATGGCAGGCTACATGCTCCCTATTTTAAATGCCACATCAACCTTGTACTACGCATAGCCGGGTAAGCTACTACTACTGTAACTAACTGCCTCTTAGGGAAAAGATCCCTTCGTCGGGGTATGTTGGTACCATCGGAGAGATGTTTGCCCCGGCTCAAACCGCAAATCTAACTTCCTGACCCCACATATCAAAGGGCTCCAAGGGTGGGGTGAAGGTAGGTGGGGTAATCCCCAAATAAGAGTCCTTATATAAGGGATCCTTAGCCCTACCTACCTTCATCCCACCTCTTGAGGCCTCCAAACATAGTTTCATGCTTCTCCATGCACCGGCGAGGTAGCCTTGGGCATGGCAGGAAATTGATGGTTTAGGATTTATAGGGCTTAGGGCTTAGGGTTTAGGGTTTAGGGTTTAGGGTGGAAATTGATGGTTTAGGATTTATAGGGCTTGGAGGGTCTATTAGCACCCTTCCTGTCCCACGAAGCTGTGCTGAGAGTACATACTAAGTTATATACTACCTATGGTCTCCATTGTAGTTCCTTTTTGCGGTTACCTTTTCGGATCCTTGATATAAAACTGGCTAAACCAAAAAAAGGAACTACAATGGAGACTATATACCAAGCACCTGCTGGAAGCCCGGCGAAGCTGAGCTTGCGGCATGGTCCCGACTCTGGAGTACGGGGCCAGCCTTTCCAATAGGATTTTGCATTCAGAACTGTAGTGCTACTGTAGAAGAGGGGAGTAGGTGAAAGGTCCCGGCGGTAATTTTGGGGTTTAGGCTTTGTGGAAGCAGAAGCAAGATTTCTCTTCATTGTGTGAAATTCAAAACTAGATTACAGGGGCCTCAATGTCAAGAAGTACCAAGACTATTGTGGGGGTTCTCTATTTTGGATCTAAAGTTATCGTATAATATACCCCAAACTTATTTCATTATGGGTATAGTATAATATACCCCAAAGCCCTATTCTAACTATTAAGGCCCCTACGTTACCACAACCGTCTTGCTTCAGGGGTTTGCATGCAGGACGCAGGATCCCCTAGGGGTCCACGTACCTCATCTTGGCGTTCTTCTGGTTGGCGCTTGGAACGTTAACTTTATCTTTTTGGGTTTCTATGTATGATCTACAACAGGTAGGCTAAAAGTTTAAGTTTTAGGAGGGGTTCAGAAGTCAGCCAAGCCATACTCATTTCACCTTCCCAAATACAAGCCTTCGAAGTTACTACCCCACACCCAAGTGCATATGATGATTACCTGAACCCAAATAACCTGCCTTTTCGGACTCCTTATTTTGACTTTCTTATATAATGAGCCCTAAACCCTAAACCCCAAAAACCCTAAAATTAGTAGGCCCTTTGGACCCTTACAGATCAGTAATGGCGGGCCCCGGGTTCTGAGAGCAAACGCCAGTGCCTGTCGCACGACAGAATACCAGCCGACTACTGGGTTTAGGGTTTAGGGTCTATGGTTTCGGGTTCTTCGGGTTAGGGTCTAAGTGTAGGGTTAAGGGGTTTAAACGGTTTAGGGTTAAGGGTTTAGGGTTTAATTAGTGTTTAGGGTCTAGGGTTTAGGGCTCTTAGGGTTTAGGGTTTAGGGGTTTAGGGTTTAGGGTTTAGGGTTTAATTAGGGTCTAGGGTTTAGGGTTCAGGGTTTTAGGGTCCAGGTTTCAGGGTTTCAGCCGGTGAATGCGATTGCATGGACCCGCAGCGTCGCTTGAAGCTTTCGATGCAAGTTTCGTGCGTACATGGTGCTAGAGCAGGTTCAAAATGATTATGTGTTCAACAGTACGGC